CTGTTTTATAAGAGTTGGTAATTTGATATCAGAGCATGGAAATAATGTGTCGCCTTTGAAATGACTTGTTTTTGAAGTTTCTCCTTTTTTTTTTCTTTTTTTCTTTTTTTTTGTTTACTTATGTAGGGGGATCAATTATTTGTGAAAGTGAATAAACTGACCTCAACAAAAACACAACTTCCTTATTCCTACTATTCCCTCCCCTATTGTCGTCCAGAGCTCATTGTTGATAGTGCAGAGAATCTTGGTGAAGTCCTTCGTGGTGATCGCATTGAAAATTCTCCTTATGTGGTGAGTTAGAATTCTAGGACATTAATTTACTACTCCTTTCTTTTTTCTTTACCGTCTTTGATTATGGAGTGTTGACAGGATTTGTTTGATGCAGTTTAAAATGAGAGAACCACAAATGTGTAATGTTGTTTGTCATATGGTACTTGATAAGAAAACTGCAAAGGCATTTAAGGAGAAGATAGAAGATGAATACCGAGTGAACATGTGAGGCACACTCAGAGAATTTATTTATTTATTTTTAATTTCTGTTTGAATAGAAGCCTGTATAACTTCCCAGTCTAAATTTGTTTGATATATGGTGCATTTGTTTCAGGATCTTAGACAATCTTCCTCTGGTTGTTCCCATTCCAAAGACTGATCAGGACTCTGTAGTGTATCAAGATGGCTTTCCTGTTGGTCTCAAGGGACAGTATATTGGGGTGAGTTAGTGATTGATCAGTACCTATTTATTGCAACACTTTAAGTTTGCCATGTGATTATGAAGGGAATTCAATTTAATGTTCTTATATTTAATGTCAGAGCACAGAAGAGAAGTATTTCATCCATAATCATTTGACATTCACGGTCAAAATTCACAAGGATCTACAGATTGATAGTTCAAGGATTGTTGGGTTTGAGGTCAAACCATTCAGGTTTAAATTTTTCATTCTTTATCTTGGCACATATTCATTTTTTTCATAATTTTTCTTTTTCAAATGCATTTATGCTTTCTATTAATAACTTCATTATTTTGATAAACCAGTGTTAAACATGAGTATGAGGGTCAATGGAATGAGAAGACCCGTTTAACTACCTGTGATCCCCATGCCAAACGTGCTGTCACCAGCTCAGAATCTCCTCAAGAGGTTGATGATAATAAGGAAATTATATTCACATATGATGTTGAGTTCCAGGTCAGTCCCTGTACCCCTTAGCAAATCAGAAAGGCTTGCTGGTTGTTACCATGAACTGAGCCTTATTACGCTATTACTTTATAGTTGACTTGCCTCTTGATCCCATATCTCAGGAAAGTGATATAAAGTGGGCATCTCGTTGGGATACATATCTTCTGATGGCTGATGATCAGATTCACTGGTTCTCAATCGTTAATTCTTTGATGATTGTTCTTTTCCTGTCGGGAATGGTGGCTATGATCATGTTGCGGACCCTTTATAGGGATATTTCCAAATACAACCAGCTAGAAACCCAAGAAGAAGCCCAGGAAGAAACAGGGTGGAAACTGGTTCATGGGGATGTTTTCAGACCTCCAACAAACTCAGACTTACTTTGTGTCTATGTGGGAACAGGGGTTCAGTTTTTTGGTATGATTCTTGTCACCATGATCTTTGCTGTTCTGGGATTTTTGTCCCCCTCAAACCGAGGTGGGTTGATGACTGCCATGCTTCTGCTCTGGGTGTTCATGGGCCTGTTTGCGGGATATTCCTCAGCCCGTCTTTATAAGATGTTCAAGGGAACAGAATGGAAGAAAATTACTCTAAAAACAGCTTTTCTGTTCCCTGCAACTGTCTTTGCCCTTTTCTTTGTCTTGAATGCTCTGATATGGGGCCAGAAATCTTCTGGTGCAGTGCCGTTTGGAACTATGTTTGCTTTGGTACTCTTGTGGTTTGGTATCTCAGTCCCACTAGCGTTTGTGGGTGGTTATATTGGGTTTAAGAAGCCGGTAATAGAGGATCCAGTGAAAACTAATAAGATTCCACGACAAATCCCAGAACAGCCCTGGTACTTGAAGCCAGCCTTCTCTATCCTGATTGGAGGCATACTTCCATTTGGGGCTGTCTTTATTGAGATCTTCTTCATCCTTACTTCAATATGGTTGCATCAGTTCTACTACATATTTGGCTTCCTCTTCATTGTCTTTGTCATCCTTATCATAACCTGTGCCGCGATCACAATCGTGCTCTGCTACTTCCAACTTTGCAGTGAGGATTATTTGTGGTGGTGGAGATCATACTTGACTTCTGGTTCCTCCGCACTTTATTTATTCCTTTATGCTGCCTTCTACTTCTTCACAAAGCTTGAAATCACAAAACCGGTGTCTGGGGTTCTCTACTTCGGATACATGTTGATTGTCTCATATGCTTTCTTTGTGCTGACTGGTACAATTGGTTTCTATGCATGCTTCTGGTTCACAAGGCTCATCTATTCTTCTGTGAAGATTGATTGATTAATCTGCTTTTGCACCCAAATTAAAATCGCCGGCTTGTTTCTTAATGTAGGATGCCAAACTATCTCAGCTGGGATTGGAAATTCAAGGTATTCCCACTTTAGAGTTCCTTTTGGGTTCAGGTTTGAATCTGATTATAGAAATAGCGTTCTCTATACAGGTTCCTTTACAGTTACTAGTTCTTTGTACTTGCTATACATAATACATGTCATTATTATTTTACTTTTTTGTATAAGAGACCTTGGATAGAGAGGATTGATCTGATACCCAGTCGTTCTTATCAATGCCTACCCCGAATGGGAAGGAATTCTTGTATTACCGCTCTTGCTTCTTATGGAGGACTCCTCCATCTCAAAATAATTGCTTTTAATTTTAAATTTGTCTTAAATTATTTATATATATATTTAAAGTAGATAAATATTTTTTTCTACCTTAATCCTATTGTTATTTATTTTCTTTAATTATTTATCCTATCATGACAAATTCTTGTTACTTAGATATATCATCATCTGTGTTTCTGTTGAAGAATAAAAGAAACAGATGCTTTATGCATGCCCTTGCCCTTTAATAATTAAGATGGATAAACGTCAACGAATTAAATAATTTAGTGGTAATATCTTTCCGTTGAAAATAAAAGATTTTGAGTTTGAGTCATATGACATGCAAGTAGGTTAAGATAAAAGAAGAGAAAATGTTGTCTCTCGTTGTGCAATCAATATTAAAAAAAAAAAAAATTAAGATGGATAAACAAATCACATTTACATACAAACTTGTTTCAGTTAAAATGAAATCCATTACAATCCTGGCTAAAGAAACAACCTTCATTTCATCTCATAAATTACATCACAATTCATTTATCAAAGTCAATCTGTATTTTCAGCAGTAAAATCAGGTTCTATGGCTTCATGAGAAAGTGACCTGTATACAATACACACCTAAAAGAAGTGTGTTTCCTATTAGAAAAAGAAATCTGGAATTGATATATAGACAAACAGCCGGTCAATAAACCCTAACCAAAGCAAGTAATTAATTAACCTTGTGTTTACGGTATATAATCTCTGGAACTATAATCCAGTGCAAGTCAGGTGGAAACACAAATGCAGTTACATAATTTTGAAGGCCAGATAGTTATATGAATTGTGAGAATATTCAGTTTTGAATGGATTTCTCAAGTTACTGGAAATGGAGTAAATAGGGACCAACTGCTTTAATTTCTGTAACAGGTGTGTCAACTGTTGACCTATTTTGGGAAATAGAAATTTCTGAGTTTCAAAACCTTAATAAGAGAAAGGATGTCAAAAGGTTTTTAATTGCGAAACATAATTTCAGACTTCTCTATATTTGGTCTAAGAAAAGTGGCGATGAGAGCAGCAAGTGTCCTATATTTTTGTTGACATACAAGTATCCACCAAGATACTTAGACTATAATTTTTATTAAAAAAGGATCAAACTTGAAGCATAAAATTTATTGGATTGTTTGACACTGAAGGTTTTTGTTTATTTGTCCCCATTTTTTAGATTTATACTAAAATTTATTATTTTATATACCATTAAAATTTTAGATTTATACTAAAATTATGTGTTCTTGAATAATGATTCCTTTTAGAAGGTTTCTTAGAAACAGAAGAAAGTAGGGAGCCATTTTTGAAAAAGAATCACTATTCAAGAACACATAATTTCAGTATAAGTCTAAAATTTTAATATATAAAATAATAAAGCAGAAAGGATCTAGGAAATAAGACAAATAAACAGCCAGAAACTTCCACTGTCAAACAATCCAATAAACCTTCAGCTTCAAGTTTGAGCGTTTCTGAATAAAAATTATAGTAAGTGTCTTGGTGAACACTTGTATGGCAACAAAAAAACAAGAGACTCTTGTTGCTCTCATTGCCATTTTCCCTATATATATCAAACATAGAGAAGTCTGAAATTATTCTTCACAATTAAAAACATTTTAACATCCTTTTCCTTGTTAAGGTTCTGAAACTCAGGAATTTCTATTTCCCAAAGTAGATCAACAGTTACCACAGAAATTAGAGTAGTTGGTCCCTGTTTATTCCATTTCCAGTCATTTGAGTAATCCATTCAAAACTAAATATACTCGCAATTCGTATGGCTATCTGCCTATGAAATTCTGTAATTACATTTGTGTTTTTACTTGCGTTGCATTGGATTATAGTTCTAAGGATAATATGCTCCACTATCTCTCACTTGATGAAAAAAATCTCACAGATCTATATGGCTCCAGAGAAAACAAAATGTAGGATGCCAAACATCTTCAGCTGGGATATTACACTCAAAGGCAGGTTGCATCCATTAAGATGATATGAGTACACCTCCTATCAATACAATCATAGCAACATCCTTCTCTGAAGTAAGCTTCATATTCAGAGTTATCACCGGGTAAGAGATAAATCTCATTCCCATGAACCACCACTTTCTGATTTACGATTGTTAATGCTACAGTTAAAATATCACTCACAAACCAAAAACCGAACAATTCTTTTATCTTTTTTCTAGGAAAATGCTCTTACGCTGTTATAGAAGGTTTCTATAGAAACCTGATTTCTCATTCGTCAGATCAATATCGAGTTTTATTTTCCCTGCTCTCCGCAAGATACTTGCAGATGTGAGTACTTCCTTTCGCAGCTGCCAAATGAAGGGCGGTTGAACCATCTTCGTTCCTTATACACGAGATTTTTTGAGTCATGTTTGGTTCCATTCCATCATTGACCTCAAGCTCAAGTTAAGTCACCAGCTCCGCTCGAAGCAAACACAGAAATCAAACCGTATAACAAAGGAGGAGTTTAAAGGATATGTTTCTCTTACTCTTTAACGGCACCAGCTCTCCAGAGGAGGCTGCATCAAGCAACTGCGTTGCACCTGAACAGAAACAAATTTCTGATAGGAAAATGAGGGAAACATAGAGGAAAATAGAAAAATGCTGAGAGAGTTGAAAGAGATGAGAAAAAACCTAAAGGAAGAGGAGGAGGACGAGAAGAAGAGGAAGAAGACGCCATTAGAGAGACGATTTTTCTCTGGAAGGAAGATGAATGGAGAACATAGGTGAGGCTGGTATTGGAAAAATAAATGCCTGCAATATTAGGTGCTGAAATAAAAGTTTCTTGAAGTTTTGCAGTGAGTGAATCATGCTATTTGGAATTTGGGCCGAAAAATGTTAATCCAGTCTAGTCCCAGATGGAAATTTGATCTCACCTCTTTA